GAAGGTGAGCTCAATCCTGTGCTGCTTCTCTTTTCACTGTCCAGTCTAAAGCTGGGGTGGGTCCAGAATAACCTGGACTCTGAGGAAGTGGGTCAAATGATGCTGGTCATCAGACTGAGAACATCTAGGGGCGGAGAAAAAAGTGCTTTAGGGGAAATCTCAGGGTTGGAGGTGAATATTGCAGCAAATATTTTTTTGGTTTTCTCATTTTATCTTTTAATGGGCTATTTTAGGAATGCCCCGATAGTGATACCAGGCATTTTCAGTGTTGACACTGTTGTGCTGTTGTGAAAATGCCCCGATTCTTAAGGCCGATACCGGCCCTTTCAATTTTCAAACAGCAGTGGCCGTATGAGTTCCCACGCTCGTGGGGACCTGCAGATAGCTGTCCATGGCAGTGCCTGTCTGGTTCTTTATCTCCTCCCTCCTCCTTCCTGAAGCAGGCACAGCCATGGACAGCCCTGGGGGCGGAACTACCGCCCCAGGGCTAGAAGCTGGGGGTTCCCGCCGCACACTGATGGGGAGGACTGGGCCGGGAGATGGATGAAAGTCGCGGGGCCCAGTAGCGCAGATAGTTGGCCGAACTGGACGTGGGGGGAGGCCGGGTCCCGGCATAGTCGGTCAGGTGGAGTACACCCAGAGCCACTGCAGATGTCCACGTCGCCTGGGTGAGATCGACACACAGCCTGGTGAGAGCAATTCTGCTTTGGGGACATGTGTTCTGCTGTGGGGACATGTATTCCGTTCTGGTGACATCCGTATTTAGCCCTAGTGAGAAACTGCCCTAAAATCATCAGTTTGTGTTGTTTTAGAAAAAAAAAAATGTCCCTTTAAGAAAAAGTATCGGTAATTGGTATCAGCAAGTACATGAGGGACAGTACTTGTACTTGGTCTTTAAAAAAGTGGTATCGGGACATCCCTAGGCTATTCATTTTTATATTGTTATTTTTGACTGGAGTTCTGCTTTAATAATATAGCACTGCTTTTTGGTTTGTACTGTGCTATTGACAGAAAACGTATTATGTTGGGGAAAATGTTTTTCCTTTTGGTTGGTTTTCTTATTTTATCTTTTAAAGGAGAACTATGAGGTGAGTGCTTTCCACTCACCTCATAGTTCTAGCCAACCTGTGACAATGAGACTGGCACAGGTCGGCTCAGTAGATTGGGAGGTGAGCGAACACATACCGGAGAGCCTAGGGTGACGGGAGGACGCTAGTTTGTGTCCTCCCGTTACCCTAAGGCGAACTATGGGGAAAAGCCTTAACCCCATAGTCCTCCTTTAATGGGCTATTTCTTTTTATCGTTATTTTTGGCTGGAGTTCTGCTTTATTAATATAGCACTGCTTTTGGTTTAGTGCTGTGCTGTTGACAGAAAACGTATTGGCCTGGAGAAAATGTTTTTGCTTCCAGCCTGCCCAACTGTTAACAATCTCAATCGCATGTGTTTTTGGTTAAATCACTAAGTTAACCCTTCAGGATGAGCATCCTTATTTAAAGTGACACTAAACTCAGGAATGAAATCCTAAAAAATGCATTCAAGTACCTTAAGTATTAACAAAAATGTATCTCATTTGTGTATCACTCGGCTGTAGATCCTCAAATCATCTCTGAATTGGTGCTGACACTGTCCTGGATTCTGGAGGGTGGCTACTTTTGTTCCCCATGGTCCCTGTGTGTTGTAAAGCTCACTCCCGTGATGGACTACAATCTCAGTACAACATAGTAATCTAAACATAAGATTGTAGTCCATCACATGAGTGAGCTTTACAACACACAGGGACTATGGGGAACAAAAGTAGCCCCCCTCCAGAAGGAAGGACAGTCTTGTCACCAATTTAGAGATGATTTGAGTGATACACAAATAAGATACATTTTTGTTAATAGTTAAGGTACTTGAATGCATAATTTTTTAGGATTTCATTCCTGAGTTTAGTGTCCCTTTTAACCACTTAAAGGCCATGGTGTTTCACCCCCTTCCTGGCCAGGCAATAAGGATGCTCACCCTGAAGGGTTAACTTTGTTTGCCTGAAGAAGGAACCGTGCTGGTTCCGAAACGTTGCTGTAAAATGCTACCCTATTTTTAGTCAATAAACAAGATTGACTTGGCATTGCATTGGAGTGGGAGTGACCTTCTGTTTGGACTTGTGTTTTGCAGAGGCATCTGCTGTCACTGCTGCACCCGCCCTGTTTTACCTGGGCTTCCATCCGGTCAGGAGTGCGATGGGATACAGGTTTTTTCACAGACACAGCAAGGCAAGACAATTCTCTCCCCCCTGCTCCTTGCTCCTCCCTTCTCCATGCTGGTAGATGAACAGATGCTGGAGTCTTCTCTGTCCCTTGTGATCTTGTACTGGACAGGAAGTTCAGGGAAGTTGAGCTGAGAGAGTTGGAACCAGTTGTTCAGAAACAGGATGACTGCAAGTGTTTGGGCAAAAATCTAAAGAAATACTTTGCTGAGCATTGTATATTTGTTTTGATCTGGATTCATTAATGAAAAAAGTGTGAGCGTTTCATATTACTTCCAACTACATCGATAAATTACTGCCATACTGTTTGATGGAATTTACCTTTTTTAAAAGTTCCTTTTTAATAAGTTGCAGAGTCGCTGTATGAAAGAGAATATATTGTTTGGTAGCTTGAGAATAAAATTCCCTTTGCCGCAAGATATCACAAGTAACCTCTTGCCAATATTTGCTCTACACAGGAGTGTTTAGTTAAAAGGTATTAAACATTTACTAAGAACTAACTGTGGCTTCAGAGTTGCTGCTTTTACAGACGTCATCATTCTGAAATGAAATTCTATACAAAAATCTCAATGTAGAAATAGTTTATTCCTAGAGTTGTAGCTTACATGTCTGTACTGAATTATGGTGGTACTATTGTCGCCAGGCCTTTTTTTGCCCTTTCAGAGGGTTTTGTCCTTTTGTCCTATTTGTTAATATATGGTAAGACAAGGGAATTGCATTGGGTGGTGGCAAGACACATCGTACTGCCTGTGAGGAATGGAGGTAGAGGAGTTACAAATCCCAGTCATTATGTATACATAATTATACCAAACTTGTTGAAGATGATGTGGATTTATCAGTCTGCTGATGCCCTTCGAGTATTGGAGTACTGTATGTAGGCTGTATATGATGTTTTGTATGATAAATCTAACTCTGACTTTACTGCAGATTTAAAGGGTCTACCTATGGTCAAAAATAAAAAATAAATCTATTTCTATATTGAATTTCCACAAGTTTCATCTCACTCCTAATAATGATACATCTAGAAGTTTGTAAACTTATTAAAGATGCCCACAGAATGTACTTCACTCAGCCCTGTGAATATGCACTTGTGGTACAACAATGTACCATCATCATTGCTTGCTGAACGCAATGCATTAAGTGCTATATAGTGTAAAGGTGGCCATACACCTGCCGCTTATCGTGCGATAATCGCAGGAAATCCCGCGATCGTACAATAATCGGCAGGTGTATGCTCGTAAGACAAAAGACGTGCAACCGTACAGTAGAAACGGTCGCACGTCTTTTGTCTTACGAGCACTTTGGAAAACCAGCTGAAAATCGTAAGATTTTCGGTGGGTTTGTGGCGTGCGCGTAAGACAAATGCCAAACGGGCCGGCGTGCGCAAACACACAGTGCCCTCTTAGCATTGCAGTCATCGGAAGCGCCCTCCACCTGATGATCGCAAGTACGATCTGCCTGTCCAAGATGGGCAGATCGTACAAGCTTTTAATTAGCTTACAACCATCGCATAACGAAAGTCTTGCGATAATTGTAAAGTGTATGGGCAGCTTTAAGAAATCAAGATTGCATCACATCAAGCAGCAGGGAAAGAGATGCAAAGCACACTGGGAATCCAGGAAGTTGGTGAAAGTGATGGGCAGACGGGAGTAGGGCTGCAGCTAACGATTATTTTCATAATCGATTAGTTGGCCGATTATTAAGTTCGATTAATCGGTTAATCGGATTTAAAAAAAAAAAAGGCTCCAGTGATTGACGACTAGTTTGTGTTAAGATTGTAGTCCATCACGGGAGCAAGCTTGGCGCGGTGGAAGTAAAAAAAAAAGTGTGGTGTGCAATATAGTACATTATACAGCGGCGCAGTGCAGAATACCAGCAGCTATAGAGGAATGTAGCAATAGTACATTATACTATAATGTACTATTGCTGGGATTTGTACAAGATCGAAAACGTTGCCAACGTTTTCAATCGTCGATTTTAATCGACTAAATCGATTAACTGTTGCAGCTCTAGACGGGAGGCAGCACTCACAACATAAAAGGGATTTTTTCATGTAAAAGCTTTGATTGCATTATAAAAAACTACCGTATATACTCGAGTATAAGCCGTCCCGAATATAAGCCGAGGTACCTAATTTTAGCCAAAAAAACTGGGAAAAAGTATTGACCCGAATATAAGCCGAGGGTGATCCGGCCACCTAAATTAGGACCCGGAGACTGCCAGATGACCCCGCACGGAGTGCCGCACACCGGAGCAGCAGTGACGCGACGCTCGGCGAGGTAAGTAAGATGACGCGCTGGCGCTGACTCGAGTATAAGCCGAGGGGGGCACTTTTCACCCAAAAAAATGGGCTGAAAATCTCAGCTTATACTCGAGTATATACGGTACTCTAGTATGTTATCCAATTACAATGCTGATGTTATAACAGGAAAGGATATGCTGGGACTTTACAGCTCCTTTAAGTGTAGACCAGAAATGGCTGTTCACTTGACTAGTTGGCTTATTCATTTTATATTCAGGCCATCTATACTGTATTAGTGCCAAAGAAACCTATTAAAGTTTTCATATTGGACCAGAGTTGTCTGAAAAGCTGGTGAACACCATGGTTTGTTTGTGATAGTTTCTGGGTTTGCTTTTGTTTGTTATAAAACCGTATCTGCATCTGTTTTAGTTTAATCGTTTCTATAATCCTGTGTACTGCTTGCCCTTTTTTTTTATTTTAGCATGTTTATTAATAAAGCTGTTGTCCCACAGTGCGTCCAATATAGAGCCATTTATGTGTGAAGACTACAGGAGGAAGTATGAAATGCTTGGCAGCAACAGATTAGAACTACCTTACGGAACACGGAGAGGAGGTAAGTTGTCTTTTTGCTTATACATCTTTTCTTTGTTCTAAGTTGTCTTTCCTGGTTCTCACTTTTCCCTGTTCTACCAAGAAATAAAGTTTTTTTATTGCCGTTTCTGTCCTTCTTGGAAAGGTTTCCCCAATGCTTCTTGCCCAGGTGGCATGATTGGACCTCTGTCCTTTGGGAAAATAGTAATAAAAAGCTGAGCTTTTAACAAGGTCCTAACACACCTTGGTGGAATTCCATAACCGGTAACACTTTGGTTTACCTATGGGTTTTCTTCATAGTCATTAATTCTTCAGCCTAAATTGTGTAGTTATCTGAACATCTGTCTTAAGGGCTCTTTCATATCCGATGCATTGGGGCTGCGCTGGGTGTTTTTTCCAGCATAAGCCCAATGCAAGACAATTGCAGTTTTTCAAATGGGCTCAGTTCACACCACCGCCGGTGCAGTCCTGTTGTGTGCACTGAAAGAAAGTAAGGCATGCAGTGCTTTTTTCACATTGCAGTGAGGTATAATCACATCGCACTGCGCTGTACCCATGGAACCTAATGAAATGTCACTTGTGACATTTCAATAAAGTTGTAACCCAAAAAAATTGTCTTGATTGAGCGCATCAGCACTGTGCCTGGCACATGCACACCAGTAGCCGGGGGTGTAGCGCAGCTGCTGGTGTGAACATGCCCTCAATTACTTTGTCAGAGCAAAGTCACTTGTGGCCAAAACTATACCTACTGAAAGAAGAGTGAATATACTTACCTTTCCAGCTGCCCATGTCTTGTTGCTGCTTCACTGCACTCCAGCCACTGGGAGCTTTCCACACTTCAGGTCTGTGGAATACCTGGTTTCCCACCAGATATCTCCCCACCTGTTCCTACATCACTACAGGACATACAAACCGGCGGGTGGAACAAGTGCGTGCAGCGGGGGAACGGGTATTCGACTGATCAAATACTCACAGGGGCCAGGGAGCGGCCAAAGCAGCTACGTTTCAAGACATGGCTGAAAAGGTATAAGTACATTCTCTCTTCTTTTAGCAGGTATAGTTTTGGCTACAAGTAACCTTGGACTGATAGGGTCATTTTAACATTCAGCTCACAAACTTACACCATCTGAAATAGAGCTGCAACAATTATTCGATTTAGTCGATTAAAATCGACGATGGAAAACATTGTCAACGTTTTCCATCGTCGATTTGTCGGCTAAAATTTAAATTTCTCGCTAATACAATACAATGCAGAATACCAATTACAGGGTGTTTAATGTATTTTTGCTGGGATTTGTTGTTCCTCTATAGCTGGTGGTATTCTGCATTGTGCCGCTGTATAATGTATTATTGCTGAGATTTGTTGTCCTCTATAACTGGTCAGTGGTAATCTGCATTGTGCAGTATAATCCTTATACAGCACAATGCAGAATGGCACCAGCTATAGAGGACTACAAATCGCAGCAATAATACATTATATACAGCGCAATGCAGAATAACGCCAGCTACAGAGGACTACAAATCCCAGCAATAGTATAATGTACTATTGCTGCGATTTGCTGTATTCCTCTATAGCTGCTGGTATTCTGCATTGCGGCGCTGTATAGTGTACTATATTGCACACCACTTTTTTTTTACTTCCGCCGCGCCAAGCTTGCTCCCGTGATGGACTACAATCTCATTATAAACTAGTAGTCCATCACTGGAGCCTTTTTTTAAATCTGATTAACAGATTAATCAAACTTAATAATTGGCTAACTAATCGATTTTGAAAATAATCGTTAGCTGCAGCCCTAACTGAAATTTGAAATTAGATTGTTGTGGAACTGCATGCTCTGTAAAGCTAGTTGGAGGAAAGCAAAGTTGCAGGTGAGCTTACAGGATGATGAGAGCTCACCATGTGATTTTTGTCACTAGTAGCCCAAAGATTATACAAGAGGGGAACAAGTGACACATTTGCTGAACTGCATGTCGTAAAAAGTGTCATCCTTCTTATCTTATGCAGCTATGTAGCACTGGAAGGATTACAAGAGTCTGTGACTTATAAGAATTCTTTTGACAGGTACATTCAGTAAGTGTTTCAGTTATCCATTCAACTATCTGGCTGGTCTTTCCATAACCACCTAGAAACTGAAACTTGGTTTTGAAGTTGGTTTGGTTTTTGTATGCATAGGGCTTTGAAGAAAACCTTTGAGGTCTGGCGATGGTGCAGTGTTGCCCATTCACCTCCATGTTATCTTGTGGTACATTTTGGCCATCACATTAGATTTTATGAGCATTGAGGTTTCTTAGTAAAAAAAAAGAATGTGGCTTTCAGAGGTATTCTTTTGACTTTGCCATAAAGAATAGATGCATGGCAAGGGGGTTTCCTTTCTGTCATTTATTTAGTGTGTTACATTCTGATAAGTAATTTACAGGGTATAGTGCTAGTCTGCGGTCCTAAAATAATGGCATATTGACTCTGCTACCAAAATACTGCCAGAAGTCGTACCCATTCCTTTAATAAAAATAATTTTGAAGGCATGCTGGATTTTCTGGAAAGCATGTATTGATCTGCAATGACAAAAACCAGCATGCATGAGACACTACTGTTCAACATAAGGGTAAGATTTTGTTAGTCATTGGAGTGGAGTCTGCAGGTATCCCTAGTTCATGTTGCTAAGCTGCATATGGGCATATGCTATGCAGTGATCCTCCTTTACAGTATGTCCAAATCCATACATGACTGCTTTTATAAGAA